GTCGCTTTGTGCAATACACTCCTGGTGGCAAGCAAATTAAAACCAATCCAACCATTAAAACCAATTAAGGCTTCGTCGTATGGCAGATTGACGTTTTTTATTTAATTTTCTTAAACTTTACGCTAATCCAGGGTCCAGGCTCATCCATAATTTTACATTTTCTTTTTGTGTTGAGGTATGTACGAATGTTGACGGACCGACTGAGCTCTCTAGCGTCCATGCACCATGGGTTAGAAAGCTGAAAATGCTGTTGTTAGTAGCAAATGAGCAACAATAATATTTTCGAGCCTACTACTTAGGGTTGATTTTTGAACAGAACACTATCCGATAATACAGCTTTATTCCAGGGAAAATACATTATATTTCCTAGTAGTAGAGCAGCATTATTGATAGTTCTCTGTTCAAAAATCCACCCTTACAAATTTGATTTTAAAAATTATTTTTTACTTGTTCCGTGTTCTAGGATGTAAGTGAAACCTACCAGCTTTTTTTTCACCAAAAATATAAAATTATGTATTATTAGTGCACTTTGAAGGGAAGCAGGTAGTTTGACCTCATGTGGAGCGTTTCCTCCAAGGCAGACCTGACGTACCATCACCTTTATGCCTTCATCAGCTGATGCTTGCATGAAGGAGAAATCTCTATGAGTAGGCTTTCACTCATTTATCTTAATTTTTGGGTGCGAAATCCAAAGACGTTGGGAGTTACCCACGTTGATGGCGCGGCGCTGAAGAAGGGCGCATGTCTCGGAATCATAGACTAGGCGATCCTTCAGCCTTCGTAACTAATGAATCCAATTTTTATGAAACGGCAGATGAGGCTGGACAAAACATAGGAGCAGGATTGTTAGCCGGACAAATTAAGCGCCATATTTGGCTTCTCTCAGCATCGTCCTCTACTCACATATCCTTGCATCTACATTATGTACCTTGTAATTATGTACCATGTGTCTGCACTATCTATTATCTTTCATTTATCTCATTTAAAAGTAACAGTAATCGAAATGAGCTTCTGTCCACACTACCATGGTTAACCGTATCGCGCCGAAAGTTCCCTATGGAATCGCTGATTCAGGAAATTTCCAAACCCTCAGGTAAATACTTTTCTTGAATAACGGCTGTTAGCTTTACCACAACAACTCAGGTTATCTGATGATCCGTTTATAACGTGTCAGTTGTGTCCCTGCACACATCTAGAGCAGATCAAAGAGAACTCTTGGGAAATCATGTTTTTTTTTGGAGTAATATTCAGAAAGTGTTTTCCCTGTTACTACTCGTATTTGTTAAGTTTTTGCAAGTTAGATTATGGAAGATGGTATAGAAGTGTCGATAAACATAAGACAGAAAATAAAGATTTGATCTCTAGCAGAACTAATGAAGTTGCACGTTTTTTTTATCTTTTAAATTTAAATATTATTTAATAAAAAAAAATGATTGCAGAAACATGTAAGCGTTTCCCATGTCTTTCCGAATCTACAAAACTGAATGGAATATTTTTCTCGTGCGCAACACACTATTCGGACACGGAAGGGTTAGAGTGCGTTATTTCGACGCATAGTGAATTATAATGACGAGTTTTGAACCCCCGCTTGGGTTGGCTGGAATGGGTGAACTCGAGTTGTCTGCTTTATCTGTAGTACTAGCAGGAAGGCCCACGAATATCGTGGGCATTCTAGATAGTTAGCACCTTTGGCTCGGGAATCCAGCTAAATACATGAAAAGTGAAAAAACGATCAAAAGGGTATTACACGTATAAGGGTCTGGATTCTACGCTTATTCTTCATCTGAATATTTTTCACGAAGTTTCGGCTCACCTATTGTGTTTTAACTCGTCGTGTTATGCTGAATTCTAGGACATTCTGCACGCTTTAGAGCATTTTTTTTTTAGGAATTACAGGCATTTCGAGACATTTTGGACATAATGGGAAAATTTAAATTAACTTTTTGATGATTTGGACCTTTTTCGGCACCTGACCGACCTCTCTGTCATGTACAGTTCTCTGGGAATAAGCGTTACAGGTGCCTATCATATGTGTAGATCTAACAGAAGCGGCACCAGATTTTTTTTAAAACCATCATTTGAGCAGTGCCCTGCATCTGCACAGTCGTGGTTATAATGTGATCATCGTTTGTAACTGTTCAATTTGACAGTCTATTGTTATGTGTCTGTCCTCTATCCCTATCGTCATGACTCTTATAAATGTTACTTTTACCCCGATTATATTATTGCAATAATCGAAAGAGGATAGTAGAGGCATCATCTTCCCATTTCCATCGCTTGTTGAAAGAAGGCCCCTGACTAAACTGGGTTTGCCCAATTGCTTTTTTTCCATGGGAAAATCAGAGAATTTCCCCCGTTTACCTGAGAATCGAGCCAGAACTAGCGAAAGCGAAAAACGAAAAACAGGTTGATCGCGATATATTTCTGCCCTCTCAACCGTCTCCCACAGTGAGAATTTCCACCGAAGGCTTTTACGAATCGAGGTTTGATTTTTATTCTGGCGTTATGGAAAGATGCTGGCCTGGGATCCGAATGGAGGTCGAGCATGAACGTAATGTATAAAAAATATTGCAGTTTGTTCTGATTCCGCCCTGAATGGGCAAACTGGGGGGTGTTCTCTTCTCTTTTGTTCGCTGCTTCGGATGGCTGGGATGAAAGCCCCCTTTTCCTTTTCTTCCTTCGATTACCCTGAACTCACTTCTCGCATCGTCATGGTCTTTGTTGAACACCTGGAAATCTCCCAATCCCCTTCTCCTTTCGCACAATGCCATGCACTTAATCGGAGGAAGGACAAAAGGCCCGATCGGAAGGAGGTGCCCTATATTTCGAGGAAATAATCCCTGCCTTTCTTGAATCTGCAGTTGTGAACTTTTCTTTTCAACTCTCGTTTAGTCAGATTTCTGCTACTGGAGAAGCAACTCGAAACGAATACTGGTCTCTCGCAATACTAGTGCTACAAAAGTTAGTGGTTTTCTCGTTACCGGTAGTTTTCAGTTGTATTCCCTAGTCCGGTAATATATTTTTTTTTCAGCAGAAGGAAATATTTCTACGGATATTTCTAAGCTTCAAAAATGTAGTTGAATTTTCGAGAGCAGAGTATCGAGACCGTATATTTTCAGGTAATCTTTATGCCACAGACACGCACCAAACTGTATTGCAGTACTTTTTTCGCTTCTGAAAGCCGCGAGGAACGGGGAAGGGACGGGCCAAAACGAAACGTGAAATGCCACATGATGTCTCAGAATATGATTCAATAGAGGATCCTATTTCCAGAGAACACATGGAAAGAGGATTTTGGTGAGAAAGAAACCTGGAAGCAGCATTGCATGACGAAGAGATCCGGCATGAATGCTCCAGAGAAGCGGAAAATAAAAATTGGTAGTACCCGTCACAGCGGGATAAGTTATTTGATAATGGTGTAGTGATTATGAGGGAAGAGGGGGGAAGTGTAGATGGATTACCTCCTTAAAATATGTCCTGGTGACAGGGAAAGCGACCTCGAGGAGCAGGAATTCAAAACACATTCACTTTCTCTGTCTATGAGGTTTTTCTCTCTCTCTGTATATTTTTTCCGAGTGGCTGAGCACGCTGCCCTATTGGACTACATCCCTCATCTCCCCCCTTACAGGTCGTTTACTTTTTTTTTTCAAGGGTCCCTTCAAGCCCTTTCAGTCACATCTTCAATTTCTCTCTCACATGACCGTGGATTTCCCAGGTCCAATTTACTCGCCTCGATGCTTAAGCCACTTTTAGCTGACATTAGAAGAGCTACTTACGGAACGTCCTCAGCGGCAGTAGGCGATACCTGCTCTCACCGGCACTTTTCCGGCATTTGGCTAAGACAAATGTTATTCGCGTGAAATACACTGACTTAAACCGCAGTTAGTTGCCATTGTTGTTCTTCGACGACAGATGCCCTGACTGCCGTTAAGGCTCTTCTAAATTTCCTTCGGTCTGTCGGGTGAAAAGTGACTCCAAAGGGCAGAGTGAGTTTTGTTTTGCACCACCGCAGAAACGATACCTGGGGTTTCATCTCCTTCACTCTTTTTCTATTCCACCCTCCTTTAATATGATTCATTGAAGTCCCTCCAACACCTTCTGGGCCTTCCGGCGTAATTCATCTATAAGGCCCTTTCTCTATTGAGATTGGCAGAAATAAATCAGGAATTGAGCCACCTGCTAGATACTCTTCGATTGACGCCTCGATGAAGGTGGCATCATTAGCCTCGATATTGATGACAGTCGAAAAAGAATGATAAACAATCCATAAATCAGACACCTCTTGATTTGGGTCCTGTAATTTCCTATAGGATTAGCAAACTGGGAGTCTTCCTATTCATTCTTCTTCCTTTTCTTTTCCTCTCGCTTTGACTGCGTTCTTTTCATTCCATATTTAGTACCCGTCGCAAATGCACCCCGGTACTCCACTCATCTGTCTTGCCACACGATATTTGAAACGAGGATCCAATTAAGTTTTTCAGAGTGCCGCTATTCAAAACGTGTACTAAATGAAAAGCAGTCTTTCGACACCATAAGGTGAAGTAGTTCCAGTTCTTTTAAGTACTGGACCTCCACTCCGGAGGGTTCCATCTGCTCTCGATTTTTTCACATTCATTTTATCGTTTTTCTTTTATCTACGTGGATATTTAAGATAATTATTTTACCCTCGTTCGCTCTCGGTCATTCGTGTTTTCATTTAATTTATTGTTTCCATATATATTTTTAAATCTTTCTTATTGTTCTCCTTTGACGAGATGAAGATTAGCTTTTTATTTTCATTTTAGTGTTATTCGGATATTTTACTCATGGACACTGTGCGCCATATTTTATTGTTGCCAATAATGGTTCAAGTTAGTGTGTGAAAGGGATGAAACCTTGGACAGAAAATTCATGGTATATCTTCCAAACAGACGATATCGGTAGAAGTCCATCCCTTTTTTTGTTTTGCCTGAAAAACAAATTAACCCCACGAAGCCGGCTTTAAATGCAGTATACAGAGTATGGCAGGAAAGACTCATGACTTCGAGTCGCTGTATCGCAAGACAGCTTTGACCGAAGCTCGCCAAATTTGGTGGGAAGGAAGCTTGCCTTTTCCACTTTAAATGTCACTTTAAATGTCACTTTAAATGTCTTGCGCTTCGAAAATAACTACAGAATACTTGTAACTTATTATTTATTATGCTTATTATTTTTTATTATTTAGAAAACAGGTAATGAAGGACAAAGTAAATGAAATTTGTCTCTTAAAGCCGTAAAATATGGCATGACACGATAACGACAGGGCATGGGATCGGATTAGTTTGTTGTGGTTGCTGCAGTATTGGAAACGTCATCGCGCGTGAACATCCTCGGCGCCGCAGTCCAGAATTGGAGTTTCGAGTTTCGCAAAGTATTAATTTTAACTGATGTGAATTGTCAGACTTCGTTCAACATTTCAATAGAGAAAAGAAGAAGACAGACTTCATTCCTAGTGTGGTGAGATTTGATTAAAATAATCATGAGATGCAACGACTCGAAGTCGTTGGCCTTTCTTGGCTTTCCCCTGTATTTGCTCATCCGCAATCGGAAAAACTATCGTGCAGCATTGAGTGATTTCTCTTGTTTTAATTGGGTTTTCCTCATCGCCATTTTTAAAAAGTTAAGTCTCCAAGGGACTATGAAGATATGGTTTCGTCTCCTCCCGTTGAAAAATAAGTCAGTTTTCGTGGCTCAGACAAGTGCCGCGCTTGTGATGATATGTCTTGGAAAATGATCAGATGAGTATGAAGCAAATGATGAAGCTAAGGAATGACTGCGCCTTTGAAGCTTTTTGTCCGTAAAGAGACTGCTGACCGTGTTGATGAGAAACTCATTTGGTTGATGTATATGTACTTGATGCCTGCCAGATGCTTCCATCCTTCCCCTTCCTGCCGTGAAAAGGGGAGGAGAATGCGAAGCTTTCGACGTTTCGAGGTCTCGGCTTTTGTTTTCTCGCTCTTGAGAGAGAAAAGATGATGAGTTGTGAGATGATTGCAGCGTCTTCCTTTTACAAAATCCGCACAGGTGGTGGATGGATCCCCTCCCCTTCACGATGTCTATCACTACGATGATGATGATGATGATAACGATGGAGGACGATGCGAAACTGTGTTCCCTACTTCCAAAACTCTTTTATAAAACATGCCCGGGCCCAGGCTCCGTAGAGAATTGAAAAGGAATTGTAGATGAAATACCCATTCAACCAGGAAATCTAGGTGCCCCAACGTAAAATGGAATCGGAATCCCTGGTTCTGAATCTCGGGCAAACGACGGGAACGTATTTTTCGTGTACCTCCCCGCTCTCGTTAACGGTCCTAAAATTTATTGTTATCTCTGGTAATGGGGATTTACTCGATTATTAGAGCTCTGAAGGTGTTTTTGTTTTCTCTCTCTCCCTTTCCCCTTCGTTATTGTATCGGAGGTCAATCTACTATCAACATTCGAGTGTGGGTGCAAATAGAATGAGATTGCATTAATAATTTTTTCCTACCTCTTTATATGATCCAGGTGGGCGGTATCGACGGTGATGACTCGTCAAAACAGCGTGCCAGGGGAAGATGGAAGACCGAGCCTGGCCCTCATCCCTTTCTATGACATGGCCAATCACGCCAATGGACCGGTGTGTCACTGTCTCTTTCTTTTGCACCTTTCACTTGCGGGTGCGTATATTTGCACACACAGGAATTCCTCGGCAGTGTGAATCCCGTTCTCGAAAGTTGCGCGTGACTCGACGCTCAATTGTCCGTCATTTCGCGGGATTCAGAAAGTCTAAACATGCTTCGTCATATCCTGAGGATTATGAGAGTCTCAATATGCTTTTATGGTTACCAAACGTGAGAAGTAGTATATGGTATCGTCACATTCTTGAATTATTGACATTTTTATCCGAATTGCCTGAGAATCTTGAATATCAATAATTTGATGACCAATGTGTTCATTATTCTGACACGATGTGTTTCTACTTTGCGAGCATACTACCTCTCGAGATTCCAGCCCCACTTTTAGAGGGGTTTTTTTCTGAGCAGTTTTAACTAATTTTCAGAGCGAATTTGATGTAGAATTAAAACGCTAAGAATTTTTTTTAAATATTATTAGTATATTACTCTACATGAACCTTTCTTATAGACACAAGAGACTTGCTTGCTCCTTTAAGAGACGTTCCACATTTTCGAAAATGGGATTGTGGCATGATAAGATGTCCCAAGCCCTGAGACTCTAAGATCTACTTGAAGTGAAGGTAGAACGTGTTTTCCTGCGAGAGCTCTGATGGCACCAGAACACGGAACAATCTTTTCGTGAGGATCCGTATTGAATTAAATTCATTTTCGTTCTTGGTGTCTACCCGGTGGAGTTATTATCTTTCTTGTCGCGCATTCATTTATCATTATTTTGTCATAATATAGACTCTGGTGCCAAAAGGTGAACGCATCTTCCTGAAAGTACTTTCGTATATGAGGAGTTGCATTGGGAATGCTGTAGAGTCGATTCTTAGAGTGACATGCACCAATTGAGGAATTGATTAGTTTCAAGACGAGATGAACAAATTTACTAAAGCACGTTTATGAAAGTGTTTATCTTTGACATGCGCCACCGAAAATCAGATTAGTTTCCATGAACACGTTTATCCACGACTTAAACACGTTTAAAGGTAGTGTGGTTGCACTTGAAAATAGAACGTTGAGTATAGTGCCAGCTGCTGCTCCACTGTCCGCACACAGTCGGCAATGGTGTCCAAGGAAAGACGAAACCTTTTTCGGAATTCTTCTCCATGGAACCATTCAGTAGGATTGAGCCATCTCTGGTAGTCCTCCTGGCAGTTTGGTTCAGGATCTCGTCAAAAACTTCTATCTCTTTATTAGTTTCCATTTCAAACCTCGCTAGATGATTGATGAGAAGCAAGAAAAATGAGGTCCACTCGGGCAAAACAGCATGTTGAACTGCCTCTGAGAATCCGTTTTGAGAGTTAAACCTGCTATGGAACAAGTTTATCTTTGAAGATTAGTTTAAGAGAGAAATAAACTGATTTCATTTGGTGCGTGTCACAAATCAGTTTAGCTCCTAAACGGATGTGGTGCATGTCACCCCTAGACTTTGACATTTTCGTTACGCCCGGTTTCCCTCCCTTCCATTGTTGCGCTCAGCCTGCCGAGTCTTTCGAACCGGTAGTGTTATGATTTCAAACCCTTTTGCTCACCGCGTTGAGAGTTGGTTGTGAGTGAGACAAGTTAAAATCACGAGGGAACGCTTCTAATTCAAAGGAATGAAGCGAATGAATTTTCAAGAAGTTCGAGGCGAAGTCCGAGGAGCTCTCCTCGCTTTTTTTTCCGCAATTGCCTTCGGGAAAATTTCATGGTGGATGGTGTTTGCCCTTTGATACGAGTGTTCCACGAGCGTCATGATACGAAATACTAATAGGTAGCAATAACGGAAGCATAAAAGTACAATAAGGAAATGAAGTCCTAATTTCGTATAATAAATACATGCTACGGTATATATATGGTTCTTTTTGACACCTTATATGTATTGCCACTTAATCCATACACGTGGTACTGTAAGAAAAGCTAGTATAAATGAATATTCAGGATATTGCAACAAAAAAAAGATCAATGACTTTAAACCTTCATATCTTAGCTCCCAACGGAGTTATTTTCGCGAAACTTTCGCGATGCATATGTGCGCATGTTTCCAACTGATTCTGAAATTTTCATCTAAATTTATTGGGCCAAAACGATACTATCTGCAATTCTTGGGAAAGAAGTTAGAATTGAGGATGGACAAGAGCTCCTTCTGGTAGTGGAGTGGAAGAAACACTCGAGCGCTGTCCCTCCTGGTCATCAAGACCATGTCGAACTCCTCTTCCATTTAGATTCATTTTTAGGGCTTGTCGAGCAGATAAGTCAATGATGAGTATCAATCAAGAGGGTTTTCTCCAAGTTATTTGAAATTTCCTTGGTTTTCTGAAGGAACTGTCCTCTTCAAATGTCAGAATTGTTAGAATATCCTTTATAACTTTGATTTGAAGTAATGGATTTTGGTAGCCTTGTTAACTTTCAAATAAATGAAGGCGTGCTTCATCCGCAGCACTCTTTGTGAGTTATGACTTAAGCAGTCTTAAGATACACTCGAAGTCGTTGGTCTTTCTTTTCGTACCTTTGCGGACTCAGGTTGACGTAAATCAAGGGAAATTTTGAAATGAAATATGTGAAACGTCTTTGGATATTGATACTCATTTATTCATCTGTTATTCATTTGGAATGAAAGCCGTCGACCAGCCCAAAGTATGAATTTAAAAGGAAGAGGAGGTCGAAGTGGTATTGTTGACCATGAGGGACAGCGCTCGAGTATTTCCTCTACTCCAATACCAGAAGGAGCTCTTGTTCATTCTCATTGTCTAACTTCTTTTAAATAATTGCTGGTAGTATCGCTTCGACCCAACAAATTCTGATGAAATTTCGAGTCAGTTGGAAACATATATGCAAAGTGAAAGTTTCGAGGAAATGGCTACATTGTGGTCGGAGATATTTAAGTTAAAAGTCATTGGTCTTTTTGTTTGCCATACATGTATATTAATTGATCCGTGCGCTTTGATCTTGTCCAACTTCCCGCTTCTTTCTTTCTCCTTTCCGACTGTGGAATGATGTGATGGCGGAAAGCAGTTTTCTTCGGGCTGGAACGCGGAGAAGCGTTGGTGCGAGTGCCTGTGTCCCCGAGACGTGAAGGCCGGGGAACAAGTGTTCATCTTCTACGGGGTCCGAAGCAACGGGGAATTCCTCGTCCACAACGGTTTCGTGTACCCGGAGAACGAGGAAGACGTAGTGGCGTTGAGACTGGGACTGGGACGCTCGGGCTCGGACCCGGGCGTGGAGAGGAAATTACGTATCCTCTCACGTCTCGGCATGGCTTCGCCGCACACCTTCTCGCTCTCTCCCCGTCGCCACCCGTTCGAGTCCGGGGATCTCCTCGCGTTCTTGCGCCTCTTCCACCTCACTCCCGGTGCGTCTCCTTCGACACTCTCGATATCGAGTTAGGAATATGGAGATTTGGGTTTGTGGAGACTCGCATTTAAATGAATGAGTCGGTTACGGTCGAAACGGCAAGGTTGAACCCGCTACATTCTCGAACCGCACCGACCATAGAGAATTGGGCCATGGTCGTATACACATAGTTTTTATGTAGCGAACACGTTGAGTGCCCTGAAGGATTTTAAAATATATTGACCGGGTCGCACCTTCTCATCGATGAGTAAGTTGGAGGCAGTGGTTATAGGAATAACAGGAGGGAACCTGGAAATCGACGCAGAGATTCCGCGTTCTGCAGTACGCGTAATACCCGAGCCGATTATCGAATCGAGCACAAGCATGTCCATTGGTGTATGATAAACAAGAGCTGTAACTGTAACACACGGTGGCACCAAAACTACTTTTTCTCTCGACCGACGACCGATTTTCGAGGGATGTAAAGTTCTTTCCAGGTCGCTTTGGAAGATCTCTAGAACTAGAAAGCGGTCGGAATGTCCCGAGGAGGACAGGAAAGACAGGTTTTTCATCCGATGGGAGATGATCACCCAGAACCACATACTCAAAATACAAAACAACGTCAAGGATTCCTTAAAGCCAATCTCGCCTATTCTATTGGCCGGGTATCTTTTATTTTACTTTTTATGTTACACGTCATTACGGTTAGCCAGAAGAAATACGGAAGCTTCGATTCATGACGTTTTTCGTCCTACTTGATTGCCATTTCGAGGCTTAGAAACTAGTCAGTCGAAACTCAAATGTAAGAAATGGGCAAATGCGGCATTGAAGCTTGCAATTGTATTTCCGGCCAGTAAATTTGACCGGAAATTGGAAGCATGGCCCAAGGAATCTTGCTGCTATGTCTGCAGTTCCGCCTGGAAATTGTGGAAATGAATGCAACGACTGACCGAAACGTCGACGGATGGAAAGTGGGGGAGAGGAGAACCATGGAGGTCTGTTTAGATCTTGTGCTTGTCAACTATTCCTCTACCCGCTTCGTAATACTGTGCAAGTGGGAACTCGCGCAGAATTTGAGATGTAAAAAACTGTTTCTGGCCCGACGATTCTAGTTTTCCCTAATGAAAACCATAGTGATTAGGAAAGGAAGGAACCTTGAAGAGCCAGTGGGTGGAAACATTTGGTACCAAACTGTCGAAACTGAAGCAAATAATTACAAATGGTACTTCAAAGGCTCATCTACCACGTCCCCCCGGGGACCCAAAAAAAGAAAGAGACAGTTGCATACATCTGTACTCTATTTGAGCGCGTTGCGGTCAGTGTGGGACAGGCCTGGATGGACAGGGAGATTTTCCGCCTAGCTGTGAAAAATAGCACTAGACAAGGACATGTTGGAACGGATTGGCTTGAGGCCCTCTGGAGCGAGACACAGCTCTCAGAAGTGGCCGGACATGTGAAAGCATTTTTTCACGTGCAATGGAAGTGACTGCGCCGTCCCCATTCATTCTCGGGCTCGCTCTGGGGACGGACGTCTGATTTTTATCTCTATGCCGCGACAATTCGCTGATACGCAGCCTAACTTCCTACTATTTGTTCGCGACGTGTTGTCATTTTACTTGACTGCTCTCATTTTGTCTGCTTGCCGATTCTTCTGAACGCAAATGGAAATATGGATAGAAACGGCCCACAATCGTGCAATTTACAGGGTGGGCCATTTATATCTGACACATTTATTTTTGTAATAAATCAGTACCGAACAAAGTGATGTAAGTTTATTATATCAAAGTGAAGTACTAACATTGAAAATTGTCACACCATCACAGGTCTTAAAAATCAGATTCTTTATTTGCTGTCCTTCACAATTGATGCATTCCCTGCATCGAACCACTACATTGTTCATTACTGTCCTCAGTGTGTCTTCACCATTACCAGCGATGGCTTCATTAATCCCGATTTTAAGTTCATCTCCTGGGACGTGTCTTGTAAACTTTGCTCTTTAATAATCCCCAGGAAAAAAAATTCGGTGCGGACAGGTCTGGGGATCGGGGTGACCATAAAACAGTGCTTAACCAAGAAATTACCAAGAAACTTTTCCTTCGCGAAACACTTTTTGACAAACGAGAGAATGGTGTTACGATACGGGGCATCTCTGCGTCGAAATTTGCATCCGAATGCCCTCTGAGTTTCCACAACAGAGCCATGTCTAAAGTACTGTAGAGTTCCACAATTTTTACTCGTGTTGGCACATCCCAATGTTCCATCATTCAAATTTACAAAACTTTGCCGGTGACATGGAGAAAAAATGCATTCAAATTTACAAAACTTTGCCGGTGACATGGAGAAAAAAATGCATTCAAATTTACAGCTATTTTTTAAAATAGAAATTTGAAATAAAAACGTGTCAGATATAAATGGTCCCCCCTTGTATATACTAGCGTGCTACGAGTCGACTGAAGGGAAGGAAGGCAAGACTTTGAATTATGGGCCCCGTGCATGCTCTTTGACGACAGTCGCTAATTATGGAATTATCGATGGAGTTGTTGAAATGCGCTCTGCAAGCACGTAGCTCAGGCAAGCCAAAGAACTGAAGGGGGAACTGAAGGGGAATCGTATATTGGCGTAAATTTTAACACTCTCGTCCGTTCGAAAACCTACATAACCCGCACTAGATGTTTCTCGTGGAGGAATCCGATTTATCGCGCCGATTCACAGAAAATGAGCATTTTCATCTACCTCCATCCGCAGGTACTCTTTCTTCGAATTGAATACCCAAGCTATGAATTTGTAGAAATGTAGTCGAAGTGAGAACTGACCGGAATTTGACAGGAGGGTCTTTGCTCCAAGTAGTTCCACGTGTCAAATCCCTGGCTACACCCCTAAATCTGACGGTACGCATTGCCATGGCAAAGTAGAGGGAATTTTTAAAGGTACCCGGTCTCCTCATTCCCAACCTGGGAAAAGATTGGCACACGGCCATAGGGCCTCCAAGCAATGGAATCGGACAATGATGATCTTCGAAGCCATTGTGAGAAGCCGTGCGAGACGCTGCTACGAGCGAAGAAATCACCCAAGCAAGACGGGACTGGTCTCAATATTTTTTGTTCCCCTTCTTTTTTTTCATGCTTTCCTCACATACTGTCGATGATAGTCATTTTATTTGCACTCTGGATAAATCGACGGTGAAATGTCCATGCATCGTATATGCAAATTACCTCTTTTCTCTCTCTCTTTTTCTCTTTCTCTAGGAAGCAAAAAATAAGTGAATTGGTTACGAACTTGGGGGCCGAAGGCATCAAAATGCGCCAAATGGTTGCAGCGCCTTTCTCATTGCACCAGATGTCGGTACATATTATTTCACAGGTCCAGCTAGTTCAATTCGTAACTATGACTTATTGCTTTTGATGGTGTGAAATTTGTGTTACCTGGCTACAATTTCAATGGTATTGACGCAAATTTTCAAGCACTTCCGTACTTGGAAAGTACGACCTCATTTTTTTTAATTGAAAAACTCCTCTATAAAACACTTGTAGCGGATATACTAGCATGTAATACCTTTAGCCAAAGTCTAACATGTGTTTTCCAGCAGTTTCTGAGAACTAAGACATATCTCTTGACCATTGACCATTCCAATAAGCATAAACTTAGCTCATAGCTGACCATGGACTTCAATCACTTCTTTTTCTGCGGAGAATTGCATAATGAAAAGTTGCTTAACAAACTGGGCAGGTCCAGTTCAGCTGTGGACCTCCCAACAATGACTGCTAAAGACAGGAGGTTGCAGCGAGGGAGATAGATAGATACGGAGATGGAAGGGGACCGTGCAGCACTACAAGACACGACTCTGCTCGAGTTCAGCTAGCAACCCTCTCCGCTGCTATGTGCACACGACGCGCAATTGAGTAGTTTCCGGGCTTTTTCTCTACCAGTATTTCCTCTTGAAGTTGCACAAATTTTATGGATGGGATAGTTCGTTCAGGCAGTGGAGGTAATTAATGCGAATTATCGTATGTATATCTCTTTTCTCGTACATTTGCCAATTTTATTATATATTCAAGGTATACTCGTACACTCTCGAGACTAAATACGAGTGGTTGAAACCTGGACATTGACATGATAGGTAAGCCTTAACTAATGCGAGGCTTGACCCATTTTTTAACCTTCACCTCATCCAAGAGTCATTGTTATTCACCTCCGAGTTCAAGTTCTGACTCGGAGGATCCAGAGTGCTTCAGGCTTCTGGGATAACGTGGCGACTCCGTATCACGTGCAATGAATGCTCATCGAACTGCAGTTTCTGATCATTTGAACCAGGAATGCCCAATTTTGTTGGTCGTTGGCGCCACTCAGCATGTGGGCAGCGGTCCCACGGGCTACAAAATCGAAAACTTATGCTGTGTTATAGGACTAGGTGCCAAGGGGAAGGGGGGGAGGGAGGCGGATGTGTTAAGCGAAAGCCTTACGTGTGTCGTCTCAAAAAAAGGAATGGCGCCATTTTAGCTTTTTATATCTTTTAAATCTTCATCCGATATCGTGCGAGCCTAATGTTTTTCAGGACGTGACATGAATCATGAATTAGGAAGATTTTTGCCATGTTTAAAAAGTTTCTCTTAGGGCCTCATTTGCAATGATTTTAAAATGAAGTACTGCATATCGTTGTGAAGAAACTAGCTGCGTGCCGCTCTTCGCCAATCTTGACGCTCTCAAGCGTGACAGGATGCAGGCAATAGAATGTCTCAGTGAATAAAAATACGCATTTGGAACCAATTATCTTGTGTGATTACAGATTTTGTTGTATTTAATGGTTAAAAAAAAGAAACTTCTCTCTCCATTCATCTAAGATGCACGTGCACGAACATGAGGTACTCTCGATGTCCGCATTTTTACGAATAAGCTGGTACATTTAAAAAAAAAAGCAAAGAAATCGCAATTAAAAATGAGGAAAGACCAAATTAATCTGAGACTGGTTGGGTATTTGTGCTGAGCCATGTTGAAGCTTGCCAAAATGAAATACTTAACAAGGATCCCCAAGAAAATTCCTTCTTCACCTCGCTTTTTCATGTTTTTTTTTATGTATCGCATTTGAAGCAGTGAGTGAAAAAGCTCAGCAGGAGTCTTGATTTTCACCTGAAACTTCACATGCAGAAATGAGGTTCACACATCTGATGGAGATGTAAAGAAAAAAATTTACTGGGTTGGGACCTGTGTTTTTTTGTTGAGATAGTAATGTATGCTTCATTGATGCGGCGAGCACTCATTCCTCCTTGTGTGCCCCGTTGTCTTTTCACTCATCCCTATTTTTTTAAATATATTTTCCCAAATTGCCTCGTAGGCCACACTTAGTGCACCCCTAATTTAGACCTAAGCCTACGGCAATATATCTGTCCAGTTTGACCTAAAAGTCTGATGGTTACGTCGGCTAATTACTTTTTCCGCGCATATCATTGACATACATCTGCCTCGTGATAATAAGAAAAAATATCCTGTGGGATAAACAAAATTCTTGACTGCTAGAACAGAACAGAACAGGATTCGGAGTGTAGGGAAAGGGACCGGGAACGAGAGCGTAAGAGGATCTGTATGAAAGTTGAGGGAGTGAAACCGACTGGTATGGGCCATGAAAAGCAGTCTCTTATCCCTTTGATGTATCATTTAGACTGTAGAACGGCACCTTTCAACATCTTAACTCACCTCGAAGATGCGCCGATCCAGGATGGATCAACCTCAATTTAATTCAGGTTAAATGAATAAAAACTCCCGATGTGATCTATCGGTTGGAGGCTGGCATTGGTATGTGAGTGAGAAGCTTGCGACTCACGTGTCATGAGTCGGACATCGCGATAATTCGGAGACGAGAGCGTTGGCGCCCTGGTTTGATGAAAACCTCTAGGGACCTTTAAAAAAAAAAAGGAACAAGGCGCCCTGAATTCTCCCTTGTTGTGAGACCTTCACGCTGTCCTCTCTAGAATTCTCACGTACTCCTCTCCTCCCTCATTCACATTTCAATGTTTGTTAAGAGGGAATCATCTCCACGGAGTTGATTTGACTCATTCTACGCGTCAAGTTACCTACTCCGAATTGAAATCCTTTCTAGGCAGTGAAACTGTCGTGAGAATAAGTTCGGTGAGGACAGAAAGGAATTCGACCCGGGGTCGCTGCCCATTGTCGCACGCTGGCAATAATGGGGAGGAGCGTTGTTACAGAAACAACATGTGGAAATCGCTACTTTCCTATTCAATCAGAATAGACATGAAACATAAAAATTCCACGGATTCTTTTAACATAATATTATCAATGTTTGTCCTCTTCTCGACGGCAATTTTTAATATTCGAGCCCTTTGGTTGATTGCATTGGAAAAAATATTGCTCCACTCCTCTTTCAGCCCAAGCTAATTGACTTTGGTCACTTGTTCTCGTTTTTGGACACTTACTGCCAGCATACAGTAATCAGTTGGATTACAATCAAGGTTATAGGGGAATCATCTATGTCTGTTGATAATATGCTACATGGCCTGCAAGGGAGGATTTTGTGCGTCCAGCCTTTTGTCTCTGAGTGGCGCCATGTTGAAAAACCCAAGACTGACAATCAAAGAAACGCTAACTTGTTCGTATCATGTCTTTTTTTTCTTTGCCTTTCCAGCGCGTAAAGAAATTGAAAACATGAATGGTGTCTGAATATTTATGACCCACCCTGTACAGTGGTTTCAATCATATTTCTTTTTGGAATGATGAAATTGTGGATAGTTTATGATAAGAGTTGAGACCGATCAGTCAGGCCATATTGAACATTAATGGTTAGGGTCCAACTGGTAACAGATACCTGAAGCTTGCACACAGGACAAGTATTGTTTATTGGCGCAAAATCCCAGCCAATCTGAATCTTTTTATTATTGTAATTTTTTTTTATAGCTTATTTTTTATGAGTTTTAGGCATTGTGTTGGAGAATCTTTTGTTTTCATTATGTTCAGCTTTTTTATTTCAGTTTTTAACCAATTCAGTCCTTGGTATAAATTTTGAATGTGCAGTCTAGGAGCATTGGATGATTTAAGAGTATAAGTTTCTTCCCTTTTCTTGACCCCATTGTGTACAATTGAAACTTATGACCTGCAGGTGAGAGGATAGCCATTGGTTATTTAGTAAGTAAAATATTGATTTTCTCATGATTTGAGTGAATATTGGAAATTGGGTGAAATGTCTGTATTAGTACATTTCTAGCTTGTGAGTTGCATCAGAATTAGAGCTGAGGACTTCATTAGAATTTTGTAGATGTCAGTTTTTCTTACAGTTCTGTGTGCATGAATCAGTATTTTTCCCATTTTAGGTATATCCTTAATGCATGTGCATGCAACAGAGATATCCCTTAACACATTTGCTGCCGATGACGCACCTCATCGTTATCCTTTCCATAGAAATGAACGTCATTGGCAGTGAACATGTTAACCCATCTGCATCACCCTCAGTTCTGTTCAGTTAGTTTTCCTAAACATGTAGTTAGTCTCCCTCTCCATCTTGCATCACCATGTGGCTGTGGGTGTAGGAGTGTGAGAATGTTTTGCACAGCAGAAGCAATAAAAAAATTGAATTGAACTCATTTTGGTGTAGTTCATGCTTCACCTACAACCCTTTCAATGAACAATATTTTCTGATTCATCTCTAGTTCTCTAGTTTTAAGATTTAAGGCAAGAGACACCATACATTTTACATCCTATTTGTTCTTCATCTCATGAAAGTTGCTTGGACACGAGATTTGTGACTTCACTTGCTTCTCCCATAAGCAGTGAGGAGATGGACTTGTCAGCTAGACCAGACAAGACTTTACTTGGTTCTTTCCTCTTGCATCTAACTCAAACAGTTCCTGATATATGGTTGCTTAAAGAACACTGTGTACTAGTACACTCTGGGTGATGTGAGCCAGGCCCTGTACAATGGTCCAGTGCACCCATGGTGATCAGGGGTGGACACAAAGCATATACCAGTATATCTGTTGATGTGGATGGATTAAAATATGTGTATGAAGAATAAATTAAAATTACTCTAACCAATATGGGTACCTCATGGCATTCAAAGTTATTGCCCAGAGTGGTTAGCTCCTTAATGGAAAAATTTTTCTATACCAATCATTTTCTTAGCAAAGAAAGAATATGCTTTTATGCATGCCTTGCTTGAATTGCAGTGGAGGTGAGTAAGTTTGAGGGGAATGAGGAGAAACTGAGGGAACCTGGAATGTTCTCACAAGAACTGGATTCCAAATGCAAGGAGTTCCTGCAAAACCGAATCAGCCTTCTCCTTCGTGCTTATCCCAGGTCACTTCAGGTCAGCCACAGTTGCATTCATTTCTCTCTTATATTGTGTGTTCAACCCTTGCCTGAGGCAGCTCGACATCTGACAATAGTAAGTGGAGTAGAATGGGAGAAGTAGTGTACCACAAAAGTAAAAAAGACCTCAACTTCATCAAGGGGGGGGGGGGAGAATCTTTAGAGAAAAATAAATAGGTCATTAGATTTTTTAGCTTCTTTCACCTGTTTCCAGCTTTGTTTTCATGCTATGTTTTGAATCTGTTGCAATTGACCTTGATGCATGTATGAAACAGCTTCATCTTAAGTATGTGAGAATGAGATTAGGGATATTTTTCTTTCACACTTTCAGGAAGATGAGGGACTCTTGAGCTCAGGGGATTCTTTGAGTCATCGAGGGAGACTGGCAGTGAGTCTAACCATGACTGAAAAGAAGATCTTTAATTGCCTTCTCCAGCATCTCAATGACTCTTGAAGTGCCTTGAATATGTCCAATTGTTAATGTTCTTTGCTACTCATTGAAGAACTTTTATATTTATATCCAACATCCTGTGCCTCTGAGCTCATATTTATATGATTCATTATTTGAGAAATCTCATGGTATTCTGGATGTGTTACTGTCTCTGTTGAGGGCACTCTTACTTGTGAAGCTTTGTTTATATGCATATTTTAGGCTTTGCCTTTTAGCTGGGTAGAAGACATTGGGATATCAGAGGCATCTTTGACTCAGCAACATGTCAAGAATGCTCAAGAGGGTGCCATTCCATTTTTAAGTAATTGAATTGGTCCCTCTCAAAGGGCCCTATCTGTGCTGCTTGAGACAGCATGATTGTGTACATGATTATGCTTGTCTGCATGCTCTCTGCATACTCCTACCTCTACTGACAAACTTAGGTGCAAATGGAATTTCAGTATTGTTACATTATTGTCCCTTGTGTTGGAACTAATTGATTGCCATTAACAGAAGTCCATTCAAAGTTTTCCTTGCCTCATTTGCTGTTTTCATCCTATAATCTAGTGGTTGTGCTCATGTTTTGTGCAATTGGTGATGCTTTCATATGTGAGTGAGCTGAAAAACTAGGGATAACAGCCAAGTAAGGTTAGTCATTCTTAACCCTTTCACCAATGAGTTATACTTGGGACCATGGCTGAGAGTGATGATGAAAAACAAGTATACTTGGGAGCTGCAGTGAAAGGGTTAAACAATGATTTCAATACTTGCTGATTTATGCTTGAAAGTGAAGTTTTTTAATACAGAATGTGGTATAACTAGTCTTCTAGGACAGACATCACTTCGTAAAAGTTGTCTACCTTTAAAAATTGAAGACAGGGCCAATAATATTCTCATTGACGAAAAAATAACACCAAGTGGAAGTTGAGCAATAAAGTTTGTACCCAAACTCAAAACTAGGTGTGATGAAATAAATTTCAGTTGCTGAGTTGTGAGATGATTCTTTGCAGGAAAAACTACAAGTTGCCCTAATGTAAAGGGAGTGGGAGAGTTGGATCCCCTTAATCACCAAAAGGACACACCCAGAATAAGTTTTTCATTGAAATGGGAGAACAAGAACTCCTATTGTGTTAGGGAAAATCAAGTGGCTTCAAGTTCATGCAATGAAGTACTGTGAGAAAAACTTGCCAAATCCCTAAGGCTTGGGTGAAGAAGGTAGTTGTGATGATGATGCCAGTTTCATTCTCTTCTTCACTCAAACCACTCAATGTATCTGAAAGCAACTTCTTCTCAATCATTTGGTTGAGGTTGGTCAGTTGGGATGATGGATACAGGTCTTAGCATGCATGAGGTCACACATTACTTTAGCATGAATGAACAGATTCTTAAGGATACAACTCATTTGCAGTTGCCTGTGTCTTCCTGATCTGGTGCTTCAGAAATGTGGTAATACCTTTTGAACTTCATTTGAATATTGTTGATGCATATTTTTTAAGAAAGTTGCTCAATGATCTTAATACTTTCTTTCAAATTCAACTCCATATGAAAAAATTCAGCAATAATTTGTTTATCCAGAACCTTAAAAGAGAGACAAAAGTTAATGCCATTTCAAGATGTGAAAAGGAATATCTTATCAAAGTACAGTGGTACCTCGCATAACGAACGCAATTCGTTCCAGTTGTGCGTTCGTTATGCGAGGTGTTCGTTATGCGTAACACAATTTCCCATAGACGTCTATGGGAAATCATGTAATCCGTTCCACGTCGCCGCGAAAAATCAAGGAAATTAGGAAAAAATGTTTCACTTTCACTCGCGAACACCTCGCATAACAGTTCCACGTCGCCGCGAAAAATCAAGGAAATTAGGAAAAAATGTTTCACTTTCACTCGCGAACACCTCGCATAATGAACGCACCGCTGGAACGAATTGCGTTCGTTATGCGAGGTACCACTGTATATGTTTGAGAATTTCATTGGTCCCATAAATAGTCACTCAATAGGAAGTTACATTTTGGATAACCTATATTTTTTTTTTAGAGCTCCATATTGATTGAAAAGTTTTTTGCAGTTTTAGTCATTTTTCCAGGGGGCTCCCTCTCATTGTACTGGCCAGTCCAGCAAGCTTCCTTTGCTGGTGTGACTGGGCCACCTACTCCATGAACAATATCTGTATTGGCCCCTCCATTGTCATGCACCACTAAGCATGAAAAGAAGGGTTTTATAATGGTCTCAAGGAAAGAAGACCTCAAGCAAAATGAACTTTCAAATTTTGTGAATTTTGGGACACATTTTAGCTTATATTACATTCCCTTCTTCCATGTCTACTTCCATTTCTAACAAAGCCAGTTTTTACATCTGCAATAAATAAATAAATGGTTATTGTGTCTTTGCTTCGTATTCATTGTCTCCTTTGATGTGATGCATCTAGCTTATGCTGGCAAAATGATACTCTCTATTCTGCCACAGAGATGAAAGCTGTCAATATGACTTATGTGACTATGAAACTAAGAGTGGGGACAGGGAAGAGGTATTTTCCTTCATGACAGGAGTGGGTATCGTCTTTCTTAGTCACTATTTCTTGCACCGTGGGGCTCATTATCAGCTGATGACTGTTCAGCTTGTGGGATGACTCAATACAGCCATACAACAACAGCATGTAGTGTTTCTCAGTCACACTTTTAAAAAAAATGTTGAAAGGCCATTGTCACAGTGCATTGTCAGAAATGCACATGGATTGGAGGAATGTGAGAAAAAAGCTAAAGAGAATTACTGGAAATCATGTGCCTTGTTGTGACAAAGGAACACAATATACTAATCTTCAAACTATGAATCCACTTGAATCAAAATTAACTCAAAGGATTCATTAATGACGGCAGGAAACTGGAAAGAATTTTGGCATACCATCATTGATCACAAGCTCACACATTTTGTGTGAGAACCAGGATTTGGCTCTCATTTCATTTACCCCTATAGTTCCTCCAGGAATTTAGTTGATGGTACAAAAGAATTTACATCAGCACCATATCCTCAACCATTCATACAGTAGTGCCAGCTCTTAAATTTTTGGATAAACTTCAGACTAAAAAGCCCGAAGTTAATGGATGTCCTGAGTTTATGAATACCGTGCATAGAACAAATCAGGTAGCATAAACAGGGACGTCATTTCGGGTGGGCAAGGGGGGCAGTTGCCCCCCTTGAGATTTTTAAATAGGCTCCTTTATTCCCTATAATGAAAGTCTGCCTTTAGAGTTCTCATGCAGCATGGTTTTCATGGCTCCTGTTTTTTTTTGTTTTTGAGCATTCCTGAACTCAAGTGATGCGTTCTCGAATATTGAGCTAATCAACCCAGTTTTAACTTTGCATTTAACAACTACCTGAGCCGAGAGACTTATCCGGCACGAAGAGAGTAAAAAACAAAGTAGAGTCGTTTGCCATTGACCGCACCGAAAGCGAACATGGAATAAATTGATAGACGAATTCGCAAAAATTGAGAGTTCCTCGCTCTCCGCTGTTGTGGTAAATTAATCGATTTAGTGGGCGTTAAGATGGTTTGCCTGAACCAGAGAACTTCTGCGAATCTGCTTTACGCCTCTTCAACTCTCATTTGAGAGATTTCTTGCTGCCGAATGCAACCATGGTTCTAGTTTTATCTAATTAAATACCATTCTTGCAGCCAACTTTACATGACAACGCATGGAAGATTTCTGGCACCGATTTAATATCGTGAAATCCTAAAATCTGCTTTTTTTGCAATTTCGCGAAATTTGAGTTTTACGAACTGAACCACTACCCTAAACCTTTCCTGTTCCTAAACCCTTCGTTTAGGCCATTAGCCCATATGGAGAAAAATTCACGAGCGATTCAATTTCGCGATTGACTGTACCTCGTAAAATTCGCGAAATTGAAGCAGGTGATAACATTTCTGGCTGAACTGTGTTTTTTTTCAAGTTGCATAGCTTCTTTGTCCCCCCCCCCCCCCCTGCAGTTTTACCAAATGACGTTCCTGAGCATAAATGTACGATACAGTATTTGGTAGGTTTTCATTAGGGCAAATCTGGGAATTCCGCAACACTCGTGAAACTGGAGGGTGATTCCGTAACATATCTATTTCCCACTGTATTCTTTCCCGTGAAAACCTCAATCAGTACCCCTTGTCTCGTTTAATGGAAAGTGCCATATGTGCTCTGACGTCAATGCAAACACCGTCCCCTCATCTCTACTGGGTAAATAAATAATTGGTGGTGGGTAAGGGAAGCAAGGTGCTCTTCGTTGAATACCGTGCCCAATAGTGAGAGTCCAATTGTTGGATATGTGTTGAACATTAACTATAATTATATTTTATGACTTATGGTACTGTAGATTGCTTGTCCATACAGTCCTCCGAGAGTTTTGCGACTGAGCAAGAGGTGATTCGTACATTCATTCATACATTCATCTCGTCTATTAGCAGTGCAGACGTTGCGGAATCGTCCGATCAGAATATAACCTATCGGTGAATTCCATAACTTCTTGTTGAAACATTTCCTGTATTCTCCTAACAGCAAGGTTTTTAAAATTCGCACTCTTATCGCTCAGTCTTCTGTCGTGCTTATGCAGGTCGCATCCGACTTCCAATTCATAGTTACCTATAATAAGTATTGCCATTGCCAAATATTGCCATTTGCAAAGAAATGGGAAACCCTAAAGGTAAAACCAAAAACGCAGCAAGAGCCAGAGGAAGAAAGGAAATAGCCAATAACAATCAGCAAGAAGGATGGGACAAGCAATAAGTATTTGCAAGAAGTTGAAGATGCGGCAATTAACGCCACGTCTGGCGACGACTTGCGTGGGACTCCAAATTGTATAGAGTGCCACGAACAACCATAAATGATGATAGAGGAGGGTTGGCAAATTATGTTTCAACATTGGAAATCGAAAGTATGATTTAAGAAATTTCACTATCTTGAAATAAAATAATATCACCAGGATAATCTACGGTAGGGGTGTCAAACTGGCGGCCCGCGGGCCGGATCCGGCCCTTTATTTAATTTCATCCGACCCGCGAAGCCCACTTCACTGATTGGTTTTGGAAAAGCGTTGAGATTTCAACCAGTTTGCATTCAAAATTTGGTTAAAGATTTGTTAGTGTGGCCCCCAACCACCCCTGAAGGGCTCCATCCGACCCCCAGCTTAATCGTGTTTGACACCCCTGTCTACGACATACGTTAGTGGTTCTTCCCCTTTTAAACACGCCTTGAGGCCCCCACTTTCCATCGCCGAAAAAAAAACGAGAGAAAAGACAAAAGACTTACTTGTCATTGGGAATCTCGGAGACGCCCTTTTTCGCTTCGTTCGGTTGAGATGTTGTTTTGTACTTTATATCTGAACTCCTGGTAAATCTGAACAAGGGAAGAACATGGAAAGAAGAATCCATCAGTACCAAAGTTGAGGGCCTGAAAACTAATAATTACGCCCTTGAAGAGCGAGGGGGCATGGAAGAAGTAAACGTTGCGGAATTCCCAGAATAGTGTTGCCGCTTTAGCAGAAGGGGTGCGGAATCAGCCGAATGCTCATCGGGAAGGATGATCACGACAAAATCTAACCCTGGACATTCTAATGAAAGAAATCCTTCCGTGCTCTTCGAGTCATCCGATTCCTCTTTTCCTCCAGTTTCATCGAAGGTATAATACAACATGGTCCTGTGCACACAGACGCCGTCAGCTCCAGTGAAACAAGGGAACAAATAGTTGGGATCCAAAGTCATTGCGGAGTCTACAGATTTGCCCTATGTCCTCCATGCAATCCTGCATTAAAATTGCAATTTGTCATTCAAGATCGATGGGGACAGGCTCAGAAGAGAGCTGAAAGGAGCTATATAAAGTTATCAAGTTAGTATTCCATGACCTCGATTGTACTAGCAAATATAATCAAAATTAATTCCATCGATCAAGAAATTAGCAATAAAGTAATGAAGATGTGAACAATCTATGGATAGTCCACGTGTCTGCAGATTTATTTACTTATTTATATTTGAAAATTTTAAAATATCTTTCGTCCCAGTGAAAAGAGCCAGAAGTACCAGTGCTAGAAAGTTTTTTTTTCCCCCCGAATCGGCTAATGGTCCGTGAAATTCAAAATTCGCGAAATTATAAAAAAAAAGATATTAGGATTTCGCGAAATTAAATCGACGTCAGAAATCCAACCTGTGTTGTAACGTTAAGTCGGCTGCAAGAAGAATGGTATTTAATTAGATGAAACTACACTCATGGCTGCTCTCAGTCAGGGCCGGCCTGAGGGGAAATGGCGCCCTGAGCGAACTTTGATTTCTGCGCCCCCCCCCCCCCCCCTCCCCA